TATGTTTTAAAAATCACATCGTCTAAATGCAATCCATTACGATCACGGCACTCATATAAACGACGTCTAAAATTGTCGATGACTGCGCGGCAAGTCAACACTGTAATGCTTGCCATTTCTCTTCGGATATTTTCTTTCAGGACATCAACTGATCGCGGAGTGGTGTCGTACACTTTACTCTTGAGGTAGCCCCATAAAAAGAAGTCCATTGGGGTCAAATCTGGACTACGTGGTGGCCAGGAAATGTCTCCTCTTCGAGAAATTACTTCGCTGGGAAAAAGTTGACAGACGACGGGCATAGAAGTGTTGGAGGTGTGGGCAGTTGCTCCGTCCTGTTGAAACCAGGTCTGCGTATTATAGCCTGGAAAATTCTGCAACGCTGGTGTCAAAAACTCTTCTATCATTGCTACCTACCGCTCCGAAGTAACAGTTAATGCGCGACCTCTGTCGTCCTCAAAAAAATAAGGGCCTACGATGCCATGCGCTGACATAGCAGCCCAAACTGTAACTTTAGGCCTGTAAGGGCTTCTGATGCTTACGCCTTGGATTTTCGGAGCTCCAATAACGGCAATTTTGTTTATTTACATGCCCGTTTAAATGGAAGTGAGCCTCGTCCGAGAACAACACATTATTGAGCGAAGAAAATCGATTCAACATTTCATTCGCAAAGTTTAGTCTCTGAATAGCGTCATTATCTTTTAATTCCTGCACTAACTGAATTTTGTAAGCGTGCAGACGTAAATCTTTCCTTAAAATCCGTTGTAAAGATGTTCTGGGTACGTGTAGTGCACTGGAACGCTTACGAGTAGACTGGGTAGGATTTTGACGAACAGACTGTGCCACAATGTTGATGTTTTCTTCAATACGAGTTGTCCTTGGTCGACCCCACCGCTGTTTATCTAACGTCGAACCAGTCTCTTCGAACTTAGCAACCCAGTTCTTAATCGTTTGAGCTGTTGGACACTTTGTAAAATTGTGTAAATTGTGGTATTCTCGATATTTACGCCGCGCAATGGTTGCCGAATCATTATTTTGATAAAACGCGCGCACACAAAAAGCACGATCCGCTCCAGTGAAACACTCCATGGCGACTGAATTCCCAGACACTGAAGATACTGCCCCCACCTCGCCCGCGCCGCTTACGCTCACCCGTTAAATTTTATTCAAATTTGAAATTTCAAAGGACTTATGGACCACCCTGTATTTACGCAGTACAATATTTCCGAATCAGATAATTTTATCGTCCCTGTTCATTACTCTGCACCACTTCCTTCTATGTTTTTCTGGAGCTGACATGCCTGTATTTTTACACGTAGGTATAATACAGTGCCAGCGGATGGTCTGACCAATGTTTTACCAATTTTTATTGTAAATCGTAAATACGGAGCTGACGACGTTTGTAAATGGCACGAAGCATGCGCATCACTTTATGGTACGTCATAACTCAGTCTCTGCCTCTAGCAAGATGATTTTATAAATAAGAAACTTTGTCAATTTTCAAGATATTCAAAAATTTTGTTCAGTGCTGTACTTGACTTTAGTTAGACTATCATAGTAGATGTTCTACGCGGGAACCCGACCTGAAGTGATACAAAACAGCCGACGGACGGCTGCAGGTCGACCTTATCGGTGTTGTTGTCTTTGCGTGCGGTTCTGATGATAGTAAGGTGTAGTGTACAGGTTGAGTCACGAATGTTTTATACAGGGTGAGTCAAAAGGTTTGCAGGTAGCTGGAGCGTAAAAAGATGGTTCTATTATCAATAATATGTTCATATTTATTCAGATATACAAAAGCGTCGGTTTCGGAGAAATCGTTTGCATACACACATGGGAAGGTTAGCAACTAATACGTCTACCCTAATCAATCATCATCTTGATTGAGAATGATGTTGAAAAAAAAACATATTAAATAGCAAAATAGTCAGCCCCATTTTCCCAGAGGCTCGCCGCCGGACCCACCACCGACCGCCCCCCCCCACACACACACACCATCTTTTTTTACGCTCCAGCTACCTGAAAACCGTTTGACTCACCTTGTATAAAACATTCTTGTACACTACACCTTACTATCATCACAACAACACCGATAGGTCGTCCGTCGGCTGTTTTGTATCACTTCCGGTCGGGTTCCCGCGTAGAACATCTACTTGTCATTAAAATAATGTTTAAAAAACTATGAAACTTCCCCATCTCTCTGTCGAGAATACTTTTTAAAATCCTTGATTAGCCCATGATGTAACTACATATTTTATGCTTCCTTTTCACAATAGTCTATAATGCGCCATAAGGCCGATTGGATCATCGCGAGCCTGTAACATCAGTCGTTCGCAGTGAACGAGTTTGTCAAAGAAGGATGAACTAGTTCACTTAGTTCAATCATGAGAATCGTTCGATCGAACTAGTTCGTTCGCCAACTACACACCACTATTATTCAGGTCGAGCAATGTAATTTTAGCATCATGATCCAGCAATTTATACCATTTTATTGAAAAAAAATTGCAGGCTTGCCCTTGCATTCAACAAAGACAGTACACATCTGATACAACCACTATATAGAGAACAGTATTGCTACAACAGTTAGACCGCAACACACTACATAACAATGAAAACAGAATTCTTAACAACTAAACAACACAACTATTTTCCACGATAGTTCAACAGTTCTGACTTCCATTGTGTTTGAATGCCCGTCTTGTCTGCGACATTCAGTAGAGCGTGTCGTAACTATTTTACTAAGTATTGTTCCAAATTCTTAACAGACCTTAAATGTAATGATTATTAGCAGTTACATGGATAGGTTTGTTCTAATTATGTAGCAAAACTGTCCTGATTACTGAATGCATGCAAAATCAGCATCAGCGTCGCTAGGGAGTACGAAGGTGCAGGCCACCGACTACTAAAAAATATCGAACTATCTATTTACATACATTCTGATTTTTCCAAGCATCTCCTCGGAAATTTGCCATCTTGCATGTCCCTCAATGGAGACTAGTAAATCTCCGAAAATGCTTCCTATCTTTAGTTGATATTCAATATCCGTTAACGAGTTAACAACGGGCAAAAGTATTCATATGTACTTGGTAATATATCTTCCATGATGTGATGAGAAAAATTATTTGTTATTAGGTTATTTTTAACAAAAATACAATATGACAACTAGTCGGGCTACTCTGAAGCTGCAACAATTGCACAGTTAGCGTATAAACTAAAACATGAAGCTTTCGTCCGTCCGATTAAAAAACAGCCAACCATGGACAGCTGGTTCGTGCTTCTTGCTACTTATCGGCATGGTCTCTCTCTCTGGACAACGAATAACTATCCTCTGTGTCTGTTTAGGAGGTATGGTGTATCAAAATAAGACAGCGCAAAGCGCCATCTGTCACACTAGAATCGACCACTGCTGAGAACGCAAGAAGCACGAAACGACTGTCCATGGTTGGGTGTCTTTTGGTCGGATGGACGAAAGCATGTTTTAGTTGGCAAGTAGACCACATATCTACTTTACAGCCAGAATCGTCAGCCATCTAGCAGTCGCGTGGTGACTGGGCTATGAAAGGTGAACTGAAAATTCCTAACAGATGGTCTTATTTCGATAGTTTTTTATTTTGTATAAGTTACGTGAACGCTTCATGCATTATTGGAATGTGACCTGTGAGTTCGTGTTGTCAGAGCGACTTGTCATTTCAGTTTTTTTTATTTTTATCCGCAGTGATTTTTTTTGTGTCTTTGTGAAATTAATAATGGTGAAACACTGCTTTAAAAATGTAATATTATAGCCCACAATGCCGAATAACATGTTTCGTTTCGTAGGTAAGTGTATTATCATTTATTTTTGATTTCCAGTGCCGTTTTTATTGCTCCCTAACCCCAAGCTGGATGTTTTAATGCTTTTCAGTTTCTAAAATTATTCAAAACCTCCCCCTTTTTGTGCAACATAATGATACTGATAGTTCTGAACTGTACGTATACATATCGATACAAATCAAATCAATCCCCAGCAGTATCAGCAATATACATGTTCAATCCGTTTCTGAGGGCATTCAGTGTATTCAATCCAATTAAAAAAAAACCGCTTGGAAAGTTGACGTTTCTTTTTTTACCGAGATGCCGAGAATCTTATTGAAATCAGAGCTGCGTGATCTGACATATAAACTATTTTTTTCACTACTAACTCATGAAATTGCCATTACTGACCGCCATGCCTTATTGTTGAGAAGTAGCATTTTTCTCCTTCAACCAACAACAAAACGAGGATTCAAAGTTACATGATTCTGTTGTTTTACTGTATAAAATCACACAAATTAACCTAATAATTTATCAGTTGATTTATATGATGTACCGAACAAGTGGACCCTCTTGAAAAATTGCCGATTAAGACCGTCTCAAATCCGCCACTGAACAGTATTCAAAAATGAAATGCTCGTTCTGTCGAGTGACTGCACATATGCCCCCAAAAGTCGGCCATTTTCAGGCCTTGTTTACGACAAGTGGGCAACGACTTATTTTAAGTTATGAATGAGGTCTATATTTTGTTAGTAGTCGGTAGTGCACGCACATTGAGAAGGGAAGAAGCGCAAAAAATATCCGAAAGATAGTGCATTGTCTGTCTGTCAAGCCCGTTGGCCAAGCCACATGCACATTCACGGAGAGGTATTGGAAACTAAAATGCAGGGCGTTCTAAGAGTTTGTACTTCCCTTTTCAGAAACGACTACGTTTGAAATCACTAAGCTAGTATCCGGTAAAACTAAAACTATCGCCGGTCGATTGAAACACAAATTGATAACTCCTTTAATTTGTAACATACTGGTCAATGTCATCTACTATGTGCACCTCGAGTAGTGTTACTATGGTCTACCGATTTTAGATCGAATCTACCAAACTACCGATTTTAATGGGAAATCTGCCGAAAAATTGATCAAATTCGTAAATAGTTCATTTCTAAAATAATTCAACGAAACACATGAATATAGCACTTTGCCCACGCCTCATTCCTAACCTCCCCCCCCCCAAATTTTTGATTTGGTGCAATCCTGCGCTCTTCAAATTTTTTAAGTAACATTTCAGCATTTGATTCTACCGAAAACTGATCGACCAGGCCTGGCAACAATGCCATCGACGTCCCTATAAACGGACTTTGTGCGAGAGAAACAAATTTATGCGACTCGAGACGTAAACGTCCAGGAAAATGATCTGATTGCACTCGCGAAGTATCAACAGCACCTTGAAGACACCGTAAATCAATATCAAATCCATAACTTCGTAATTGCTATAGAAGCGTGCCGATTTAGTTTTTTCATTTTAGAATTGTAAACAAACGCTCGATTAAGCTATACAAAGCGCAACTCCTAGATTCATTACCGACTCACGTTGTACCTTTTCACGCTGAGTGCAGGATTGGGGGACGAATTCAGATTTATTTGTAACTTAACTCAGTTATCCTCAAACTTTAGCAGACTCATATTGGTAAACCACTACGCCACCGCACCACTTACTGTTACATGAACTATACGTTGTGTAAAGGATCGTCCCAGCTCTTGGAGTACCCTACATATAACTAAAGGGCCTTTTTGAAAAAAAAGTATCGCCATAGGTCCTGGACTCAAACACTTGTCAAGCAACAGATCACATCACCCCAAAAAAAAAACTATTCATTATTTAAGGACCTTAAATTGCAAAACAAAAATGCCTTTAATATAAATAATGTATAACAAATCACAACAATAATAAAAAACAACTGCATCAAATCTAGTGTTACCGCTTTCTGCATTTTTGCTTATGTCCTCTGATGACCCATGATGGCTGTTTGGGTGGTGGGGGTAGATTTTTCACGTTACCGTATCTTAGAAATAGCTCTTTGATATAAGCTGATCGGTATATACCAGGAGGTCTAAAAAATAATCAGATGGCAGAAACAGCGAAAACGTATTTTATTGCTTATCAAAACAAATCAAATAAAAAATAAGGTTTTTTATACTGCTTTAACGCCCAGTATTACAAGAACTCAAATCAGTCTTAATTTTAAGCTTAAGCAGAGAACACATTAAGCATTATTGTCATGTCATGCAAACTCACATGGTTAGAATGAAAACTGACCAGCTATATAACAGAAACTTAGATACGTGAATCCCTGCTTATGCCAAATATGTTAGTCACCTCAAACATCTATCAAAGGATTTAAATTTTGTTACGTGAATTTTGGGCGAGAGTACCAATTATATTTTTATCTGTCGTTCCAAGCATGTTGTTAAACATTTTCATATGAGTACTCATATAATGGGTGATTGTCCTCTTTGGCAGATAGAATTAGGTTGATCTAAGCTAAACATTGAACCTCTCGGAAGTCATGTAGGAGCTCTGCGAACTCTTGACACTTGTGAAAACGGCTGAGAAGTGATATGCAATCAAATTTTGTTTCAGACAAGACAGGTCTACTACAGAAACATATACTTTGATCATACATCAGTGAGCAGTGAACACCAGAACCAATTTCGTGTACACTCGCCCCAAATCTGTCTGATTTGGCCACCATTTAGTCCACACAATTCTTTGAAAGGATGTCCAGATCATTTCTGGTCTACCACGGGGTTACGTCGATTTTTCATTCTATTGGATCACTAGAATACCTCGTCTCTTAATAATGTGTCTCCTTTTGATCGAAACAAACGTTTCTGTAGCAGTTCTATCTAGACAAAAGCAAACATCGCCGCGTGAGGTGCCAAAATATATTTCGCCATACAAATGACGTGTAACTAAGAAAACGCATTACTAACTCCCGGGGTGAACAAATGAGTATCACTCAAATTCACAGTGTCAAAATAATTGATGGATTGACAGAAACAAAGGTGTCTAACGTGACAATATTATATAGAGCGTTCTGTACTTGAATGGATATGGTGAAGTGGTAGATAGTATGGATCTGATTTTTTCATATCCGAAAATAAAGTTCTACATTCCGTTTTTATGAATATACAGAGTGATTTATCTAAACACGCCAAATATTTAATATCACATATGTCAGGCACTATTGAACATAGTTACCAGTAACATAAAACACAAGGTGGACACTCAAAAAAATGCAGGGCCGAATTCGATATTTTTTCACTTTTTTGTTATTTATCAAAATCAACACTCTGTAAGCTGAATATTGAAATGTTCAACTATGTACCAAAAAGCCAATGAACAGTGCAAATTAATTAGTAAAATAGATTGATTATGCATCTTTTGCTTTTTTAATTAAATATTCTTACTTATTACGTCGTTATCACTTAATTAATTCTATCAGTTTAGTAGTTTATGTAACACAAAACTTCAAAGATTATCAACTTGGTTCGGTCAATATTTTACAAAATAGTGCTCAAAATTTTACTCTACGGCTTGAGAAGAAAAAATTCCAGAGTCAAATTCTGTTTTTTTCATTTCCTTGTGTTTTATTAAGTGTAATGCTCTGTAAGTTATACTCTGAACTTATATTATTCCACAAAAAAAGAGCAACGCCTGAATAAAAGCAATGTTATTTAAACTAACTCCAGTAAATAGCTGTGCCACTAGTTACTGGGAATTTATTTAAAAATTCTCACAACACATCAATAACACCCAACACCCAGGATAGAAATGATAATGCAGACAGCAGTAAGCAAAAACCCAACCACTTGTAGTCATTTTGAAGTCGACAAGCAAAACGCTGAGCGTGAGATGAATGGGAATACCATATTTTTACAAGCACATTGAAAGCAAGTGCAAATGACTTCATATTTGGTGAGCGACTTGAAGAACGAGAATTGCATACTTCATTTGGGTGGATTTTTAACTTCATTTCAATTCGATTTGGAAGGTCAAACTTAGTGGACTTGCATAATAAATGCTGTTTCCCTTTCAGGCAGAACTCACGTTTATAGTACAATATCGCTTGGTAGAATTAAATCATTAAAAAAAAAACACCAAAATATGTATTGCTCTTTTTTCTATGGAATAGTAATAAATACAGAGTATAACTTGTAGGGCATTGCAGTTAGTAAAATTCAAGGAAACAAAAACTGAATATGACCCTGGAATTTTGAGTTCCCAAAATATATTTAGTTCAATTGTAACCATTATTTTGTGAAATGTTAATGAAACAAATCTGATAATCCATAAAATTTTGAGTTTTGTGTCATATAAACTGGTAAAAATAAGACATTTGAATTAATAAAAATGTTTAACAAAAAAACTAAAATCAATCCATTTTGCTAATTAATTAGCACTATTACTTGGCTTTTTTTTGTAAATAGTCAGAGACTTAAATATTCAGCCTAAAAAATTTGATTTTGAATATTTTTATAAAAGACAAAAAAGAGAAAAAACGGAGTTTGGACCTAGATTTTTTAATCGTTCTTCTAGTTTTACGATATTCCTATGTAACATTGTTATCATGCAAAATTTCAACAATATGAGTTAAATAGTGCCTGAGATAAGTGACATTAAATATTTAGCATGTTTATGTAAATCATCCATATATCCTTAACAACTGAATATAGAACTTTTTGATCCATACTACTATCATTTCACTATGTTGATTTAAGTATGGAACACCCTGTATTTCTAAATTCATAACCTTCTAAGCATAATAGTTCCACATATCTTGAGTTTATATTATAGCTCTTGAGATCGCATGATAGCTTGGAGGTTCATATGATGTGACAATATTTCTGTCTTAATGTGTTTCTGCTTCTAGAGAAGGGTTTCGGCTCCAAGGAATATTAACCAGTAAATCAATTTTCAAATGTTTTCAGAATATGGGTCATTTGTGAACTGAGATATGGTATAATTTCTGACATACCTTGCCTTGGAAAATCTATCTATTGCATCCTCAACTTTAAAACCCAATTGTTCCACTAAGAATGCCACTATTAAAAATCCTGTCCTATTGTAACCATGCGTACAATGCACAGCTATTGATTCACAAGGATTATGGACAATAAAGTTATGGGCAATGTCTATGAATTCTTTAACATGTCTTCTTGATGGTGCTATACCATGTCCTTCACAACACAATTTTACATATTGGCAGTTTTGATCCTCTACTGACTTCTTTGAGTAGTATCTTGTAGTATTTGTCAAATCTATCCATAGTCCAATCTTCACCTGGAAATTGGGTAATTACTGGCAGTTGAACAAGGGGATATTAAATTGTTTTTTCTATAAGAGATTACTGCAGATACTATCAAAAATAATGAGGAACTTTGAAGAACTTTCCATGTCTATGGTTTCTAATTTACCAAGAAGTTTCAGTAGCTTAAACCATAAAAATGCCTAAAGTCTAATGAAAACATAACATCCAACTTATTATTAGTGAGGTATGTAGATCGAGATGTGATTTATTTTTTGTCAAACACAAATTCTAACTGGGCACAAAAGCTTTAGGCAAGGGTACATGCCCTTGAGACAGTGGCATTTCCAAGGATAAAATCAATGTTGCTCCAAACATCTGAATTCGGCAAACAAGTACCATGTATTACCAAAATCAACCACTGCTGTCATATTTTGATACACTACATCTCAGATGCAGGATGCTTTTGATATGCTTATGATTACCAATAAACATGAAACATGATTGGTGCAGATGGTCAAAGGAAGTATTATTGGTACCCATCAAATGTTGACTACAAAGCTTGGATAAAATGATACAAAGTAATAAAGAGATGACTGCGCAATGGCTGATTGATAGCAGGCCCTGATAAGAGGTAGCAAAAAATGCATATTGGGGACAACTAGCAACTTTCAAAGTCATGAAAAAACATCTTACATATAGGAGTTTCACTGGGTGGAGAACCAAAATTTAACATTTTTTAAAGGAAAAAAAAACCACAGGATATTAGGACTTGGACAGCAGATACTATTTCCTGCAATTTTATTGCAACAAATAGCATTAGCATGGCTACTGTATTTCCAATGGGAAGGCATTTTCAATTAGCAATCTAGTTATTGTTTCACCATTATTGTGGTGTTTCACCTAATATTATTCTTTCACTTTGCAGTACTTACTTTATTATGGGCAGCTCTTTTGAAAATTTCTTCAGGTGGATACCTTGCCTGTACTGGAAATTTAGCATTATATTTTTCTAGTGGTGTTTTTAAAGCCATGAACTTTCCCTCTACAAGGTATTCACCGTTCGCTGGACAATCAAGCCAACCATCTGGGATTTTATTTTTCATTATCACACGGTAGTAGCAATAAGTAGGGCACAGAAGACCAGTGATTATAAATGGCTATGCATGTTTTTCATGTAAATAAATATCTATTTATCTATACTTGAAATTTTTTATAAACAAAAATCAAAATAAAAAATTGTAACCCCACTTTCATCTGATACCTGATAGATCACGTGATCAATCACCGATTCACATCCAAGGTTGCCAGACACCAGCGTTGCCACGAGGCCAAATTAGTGGCCTGTACTACATCGTATTACCGGCAAACCGCGAAAGCCTAGATTATTGATACTGTGGAGTATCCTAACCACCATAACCGTGTTGGACCTGGGAGATTATTTTATCTATGATAAATGCCAACCGAAGATTTAACAATGCTCTGCGATTAGGCGTTCCATCAACGATGTGTGAGAATTTAAAATTTGAAACAAAAAGTAAAGTAGGTATTTTTAATTCTTCATCCCACCATTTCTACACTTTCCTATATAAAGATATTGAACGTTATTCCTGTAGCTTGTCAAAAACCGTGAAAGGACCTATATACAGAGAAATCCATATACCAGTGACGTCGTAATGTGTACTGAGAGAAGCGCAGGAAGCTTGCATTACGTATGTTAGAGAGAGATAGTCGCAACACGTTGCCTAGCAACCCGAGTGACGAGGAGGACGCAGCTGCTGCTTGACGCGCTCTTTGTAACAGACGTACGAGGGTGGTCCCAGAAGTACCCGACCCAACGAAGAAAACAAAAATTTTGTAAAAAAAAGGTTTTATTTTTCAACATAATCTCCTTTGAGCTCTATACACTTTTCCCAGCGATGTTCAATGAGTTCGATACCCTTTTTTGTAATAAGAACTGTCTTGCTCCTCAAAATAGCCATTAACTGCCGACATCACTTCATCGTTGGAAAATATTTGACCAATGAGCCATTTTTTCAAGTTTGGAAACAGAAAATAATCCGAGGGGGCTAAATCTGGTGAATAGGGTGCTTGAGGTAGCAATTCAAACTTTAATTCGTTAATTTTGGCCATTGCAATAACGGATTTGTGAGTTGCATTGTCTTGATGAAACAACACTTTCTTCTTAACCAAATGCGGCCGTTTTTGCTTGGTTTCATCGCTCAAACGTTGCAATAACTTCGCATAATACTCGCAGTTGATAGTTTTGCAAGATAGTCAATGAAAATTGTCCCACGTGCATCCCAAAAAACCGACGCCATAACCTTGCCTGCAGATTGAACGGTCTTCTCCTTCTTTGGAGTCGGTTGTCTCTTTTTTGTTGTTTCATCCATGGTTATGAAACGACGCAAAGATTCTGCTTTGTTGCTGTAAAACTTCGATAATCACTCAATTGAAACATCTTCACGACAATGTTTTTGCTCGATTGTGAGCAATCGCGGCACCCACCTTGCACACAGCTTTCTCATGGCCAAATATGCGATGAACCGCACTTTTTTAAAGGCCTATTACATCTGCTAGCTCGCGCACTTTCAGTCGACGATCATTCAGAAGCGCTTTGTGAATTTTCTTCACCATTTCTGGAGTCGTCACCTCATTTGGTCGACCACTGCGATGCTCGTCTTGGCAGCTCATACGACCTCGTTTAAACTCTGCTACCCAATATTTTACTGTTGTAAACGAAGGAGCAGACTCACCCAGAGTAGAATCCAGTTCAGCTTTTATATTGGTTGGGCCTTTGAAATAAAAGTATTATACCACATAACGATGACCAATTTTCTCCATTTTCACAAATACTAAACAACGTGGCGACTTCAAACTTGACACATATGCTTTATAGGTTGCATACTTTCTAATACAATGATATTTTTCAAACAACTATCGCCATCTCTAGGTCAGGCCGGGTAGTTCTGGGACCACCCTCGTATTGCAGGCTTTTCTCTCGTACAGATTGCGTGTTCAGCCAAATTTGAACTTCACCGTATGGATTTCAATGTATAGAACTCGAGTTCCTCAGGAAGTTAGGATAAGCGTAAGCCTATGGGACCTGGACGAGGGGGTTTGCGTTGTTTGCTGTTTTTGATGCAAAACAAATTTAGTAGGTAGCAATTGACGAGCGGAGGGGAGGGTGGTTAATAGACCAAAAAATTTAGGAACGTATGTCCGAAATCTGTATCTCTTGCAAAATGAAAATAAACCGGGTGTCAACGAAACCGTTTTACAAGGCACTATTCAATTGCTGTTTAAAGAAGAACCTTGAAATTTTGTGTGAAGATATGTCATAAAAACTCAGATGATCCATTAAAAAAACAACCGAATATCGCTTCCGGTTTGACCGGAAGTGAGTATGAAACAAGAATTTATATTTCTATAATAGCATCTAGCATCACATTGTATTAATACTGAATTATTATGATGTTCATTACCCCTGATGGTATTATTCTGATTAGAATAATGTGAATGATTCGGAGCTCGGATGTCGATTTCGGGATACGACTGAATCTGAGGTGAGACTCTATCGGGGTTGAGGAGACGGGCACTAGAAACTGCCCCGTTACGCGGGGGTTGAAGCACGAACTCGCCTGAAAAGTCGGCGAGGCCGGTGACCTAACGGGAGCAGCTCCGGCTGGTGGAGGAGCCACCCTGAGAATCGCAATCACATTGCACAATACCTTTACCTGTGTGGCGGGACAGGGTGGTGCTGCAGGTTGTAGGTCTCCTATGACCTTTATCTCACAGAGATGATCAATTCCTTCTCGGCGAGCTGCATCAGCGGCGTCTACGGTGAGGGAGCGCAAGTGGCTCTCGAGCTTTCGTCGGGTCGACTTTCTTGTGGCCATCTTCCCCGTAACTCTTGGCTGGGTTTCACGTCTGCAGTTCGATATCTAGGTTGCACACAGGGCTTACGTTTGGGAAGAGATTAAAATCCCTCGGTGCACCCTTCCGTGCGGTGATCTATTTCCTTTATGGTTGGATGTGTGGGTAATAACTGCTTTTCTTCTTTTTTCGAAATAAAAATGGCTACCCCACAACAGGTTTCGGTGCACGAGGTCCGTATGGCCCGAAGTTACGATTATTTACACTATATACAAAAATGTGAGATGGGTGATTCCCAAAACCCAACAATGTGGAGATTACAGTGGCTCACAGCCCTCCAGGTTCCCTTTGATCGCCGGGGTCGACAGGAATGTTGTCGGGAAGGAGCTGCTTGTATGGTTCCAAACAGCCTATTGTTCCCCATCCACTGTGTCAGACAATCAGACGATCCTAATGAAATTAGGTAGAATTGAAGATCTAGTTGTTGTATAACTATCTCTGAAGGAATTTTCCCTCTAGCTGTTAGTGAGTTGGAGGTAACAAACACACAACTGAACGGCGCTCCAGCTACACTCCGACAGATCTTCGAGATTGGAAGACAAATTAAAGCTTTTGAATTGTGCATTTACTACATTTTACATTTGTTTTCTTACCGTAATTGTCTTGATTTATTTCAAGAATAATACTGTGAATAAATAGTTATATGCCACATAGACTGGGAGAAACTACGTATTATTTATTGTAATTCTGATTAAACATTTGATATCAAGTATTGTTGCATTAAAATGTTGAATCAAAAATGTCCATTGCCAAAGTAACTACATATTGCATTTCTTTCGCCGGAGCCAATCTCCTTGCAAATACAAATCGAATAAATTATATACTTTGCACTACTTAAACGCGGGCGTAGCCGCGGGTTTGGGCTAGTATATTAGGAACTGAAATACTGCCATGCACCCCATTAGTAGATGCTTCTCTACACATCTATATCAAACTACTATTTTGATTTAACAATCGTTACGGTAGTCAATGGTAATCGAGGATGATTTTTGCAAGTAGGTGATTGATTTATTTTCATTAACATTGGAGGAATGAATCGCTACAAGCTACACATGTATCACTTGTTCTTCGAGGGTGTAGGTACCATTTTAGAACAGTATTCCACATGTACGCGAATGCTATGAAGCACAGTACATACTGAACGTGTAGCATTCGCCTGACATCTCAGTTTTATTTACACAAATTAATCATACTGGGATCAGAAGTACAGCTAATAATTATTTCATAATTGTGCAAAGATTGAACGGCGAAATATATCTCATATATATATAAAAATGTCTTCAAGAGAAATAATTTTATTAAAAAATTCATCAATACAGTTTTCATAGAAAATATCACTTCTGCTTCCTTAAATATAATCACAAGACAAAAAATGCAAAAATTACATTTTCCATGCTCAAAATGTCTCGAACTGACAATAAGATAGAGGCTGTTAGAGACATAGAATTTTTAAACTTACATGTGTAATTTCCAAACCCAAACATCAATAATAAAATAAATTAGAATTAAAACAAACATGAGCAAAAATATACGCGTGATGAAATAGGATATTCAGAAAAAAACAGAAGTGCAGAACAATGGTTTTTTTTCTGTAGACTATTATTAAGGCAGTAAAATCGGTAACAGCCTACAATCACCTCCAAAATCTTAACATTATGGAGTATGAGTGTATTTTTCCAATTGAAGAAAGAATGCCAAAACTAACTAAAAGCAATGCGAATGTAGGAAAAATAGTTTGTTCTGCATTCCTAGCTATCTTATTTTCTGAACAATCCGTAATTGTTGTAAGGAAATAACTTCTCTCATACGATGAATCGCTGTACGTGCCACTTCGACATCGACCACGTATCTTAAAGAATAAATGACGTTATACACCTTTGTAATGGCAGAAAGTACAACTCATACCTTTGGGGGCAAGAGATAAGACGGTATGGTGATGTTGCAAGTAATGTCACTGCAATAATGATACGCAAACAGAACTACAACAGGTTTTAAAAAAAAATTCGTTGTAAAAGTAGATAAGTCGTTTATCATTGCTACTATGCACATAATATTAATATGAACTTAGATATTTGTTTAGATAGCCTATGGTGCAAGATAGGTACATTTGGACTGATGCTACGGTATCTGATTTTATATCCGATAATTTTTTGGACGCGGGAATATAGCATTAGGTTGTGTATCTTCAGATAGACGTTAATCAACGGTTATATTCAGTTCCAAAGGAATTGCTATTTCCTTCTCTTTGACCAATTTTCTATTTAACACCAACAAAAGTATATATAAACTTTTTTCAATGGATGAATTTCAGTAGATTCCAGATTTACTTAAATAACAAAACAAGCTTAATCACTAAAAACTGAGTGCTGTAGCCTGATAAGTTTCTGACTTCGCAGTTAGTCGAACAATGGAACATTTGAGAAATAGTTTACCGAATAATTCATTACAATAACCCCTTCCTGTGACCGTAAATTATTGATATAGGTATAATATTGTTCATATCCTCTTTCAATTTTTGACGAAATTTAATGTATTAACAATTTTAAAAAGACGATTATATGGTTATATCATATATATTGAATCCATAGGCATCTGAAACTAATAATGATTCATATAAATAGGAATACCTCTATAGACACTCACAGTATGGAAGATATTGTCTGCCCTCATACCGCTGTCCGTGAAAATTCCGTGTTGTTGTGGTGTGGAAATTGAAACAATGACGGATACAAGGAAAACGCATTACAGTGATGAACCTGAACCACACCCAGTGATTAAATTTCTAAAAAGTGAGCAATTTATGGAAATAATTGACGGCATAGTGCAACCAATATAGAAGCACTAAATGAGCTAGTAATTATTACTGCCACGGTAAAACAACTCAGGCTCCTTACAGAAGTTACCGAAAACATGGATAACAGAAAAAAGGTGAAGTAGGGCAAGCAACTTTGATTCAACCAGCGTGAACACAGCTGCAAAAAGCAGAAACTATAAATCTGATATCTGCTGAATTTGACGATTCTGATGGTTCCTCTATGCAATTTGAGTCGAAAAACAATTTTAATAGGAACTAAAGACAAAAAGTTAGAAATAGCCGAAATTAGCAACAAACAAAAAACAACCTGTGTTTGGTACAGGAGAAAGTGTAACTCACATTACAGCTATAGCACGGAAAACAGGGGTGAATGTTGGCAGACTTACCCCAGAAACAGGTTGAAGATGTAAAATACCAAGACGATTAGCCCACGAGTTTTTTTCAAGCGAGTCGGTTACTATCTTTTGGAGAGATCTAGCGCTAACGACATGGTGACGAGCAATGACCACAGGAAAATCTCTCCACTCTGCGACTTCTGCCACTAACTTTGGTGCAAACAATTTTGAAATGAATTTTCAAGTTATTCTCAAAACCTGTATGTCATCGTATAGCTATTTACCTTTTCGAGCCCAACACGGAATATTAAACGATTCAGTTTAGTCAAAAAAGAGAAAGGAAACGCTTAGATTCATTTTTTTTCGAACCTCATTGGACCAATAATCATCGTCAGTCGTATCATTACAACCCCGCCCATGACTTGCAGAGATTTCCTCGACACATGTGCGTCATTTGTTTTGAGAAAGTGCAGATTACAAATTGATATTAGCGAATTCAGGACTTCATGTTTCACTGAGCATACACACCACAAATGACAAGATCCAAATAGCCTGATTGGCAAGAAATCAAATAATGTTGAAAACGACCAGCCAATCAATTTGGCTATAAGCATATTTCCAGCTCTCACAAAAGTGGTAGAAGTCGGTGAAGCTTGCAAATATGCTGTACTGATAGTAGGATGTATAAGAATGTTTTGCAAAATCATAAGGATTTTAGTTATTGTAGGAAGCATAACTACCAATTCTTTCTGCTTTGTATAACTATTCGATCTAACAGCGAAAAATTGTATTAATTTTGTCCAGGAAATTATATATGTACGTTTACTTTTCATGTAAATAACATATATTTAGTTTTACAGTTTAATTTTTCCATATAAATGCTATAGAAGTTAATCTCGCATAACAATAAGAACAAAGTCACGGCTCCATGGTATGAATCAGATTTTTCGATATACAGTAGCGACTCGATAATTCGAATTGCTCGACTCTGTAATCCGGATTGTCATGTTTCGCTAGTCCGGATCAGATATTGAGTTCTTAACAAGTTCAATCTTGTTAAATATCACACCATGAACGATGCGACCGGGACGCAAATAAAGCAGAACCTTTCCACGGGTCAGTCATTCAACAACAAACGCCATGGTTCCTACACGAAAACACATAACTTTGTCGATCCAAAAGAAGGCTGAAATTTTAGATAAACTAAAATGAGGTGATAGTGGTAAAATATTAGCTGCAATGTATGGAGTGGGAAAATCCACCATATCAGATATTAAGAAAAACAGAGGCAAGATAGATGCGTAAGAGTTATACAATTTTGAAAAAAAAAAGTTTTTATATTTAATGCATTTAATATTTTAGTTTTATAAAGAAATGCATTTCTGGTCCAGGTAGCAGAAAAACTGTGGCTTACATTTTCTGTACTATGGAGCAAGAAAACAATGACCTTAGTAAATCTTTAAAAAACTTCAATCAAAAAGACGTAGTTTGCTTATTACATAATGCATGGACAAAAGTGTCAACAACTGCTTTAGAACAGTGTTGGAAAAAGTTGTTAGTTGAAAACTTAGATTATGACCCGGAACATTTAATACCATTAAGCTTATAGCGCGTACAAATAAAGCAGCAAATGGAGACTATTGAGAAAATTTCAACAATGCTAGAAAAAACATCTGAACAATTTACAGAAGTGGAAATCTTGGAGTGGGTGGAAGAAACTGAAAAAGATACTCTTCAAGATGAATTTCAAGATGACTATTCTGAAAATTCACTAAGTGACGTAGAAACACCAATTTACTGCTCCAAAAGTTAAACATGAAGAGGAAATTGCGCATTTTACAACAGGCATTAAATGGGGAGAAGACAACAATATTGCACATACCTAAATTCTTGCCTTAAAAGACTTAAGACAGGAAGCTGTTATTATTTGCATTCTGAACATAAAAGACAAACAAAAATAACTGATTTTTGTAAAAACTAATTTTTTTACTTTTTTATTTTGTTATTTGCTTATTTTAGCTATGTAGATAATTTATGTTTCAGTTTTTATGAAATAAACATCATTGTGATATCAAGAACTTGTTTTTCTTATGAGTTCCACTAATCCGGATTTTTCATTAGTCCCGATTGCACCTGGTTTTAAGTGATCCGGATTATCGAGTCGCTATTGGCCTCGTCTGTTAAAATCGATTGTATTGCTATTTAATCAGATTTTACGTGAGAAAGCTTATTTAACCTCAAATGAGATTCGTCAATCACTAGATGTTCCCGATCTCGCATTATTTGTAAGACAGTTGCTAGTTAACACAGTTTATGAGTAGCTAAAGAAAATCATGCTTTTTTGACATTACATGAGATAAATGACGATATAATGTAAGCTGTCAATGTAATTGTGACAAGGAACAGAAATGAGCACAATTCATTATTTTCATAACTTCACGTTAACTCTATCATTGAATTAATGCGCTGCTATTCTTCAATATAACTATATGATCTTTAACAGTGATGCATATGTGAGCACAAAGACAAAGGATCTAACAATAACTAAGCACTGCTCTTAAACAAAGGTAAATCGTTGGGTAAGTTGTTTTTATTATTTAATTGATACATTTCAACAACTATATGGCATGGTGTTCTATCAACGGATTTTTCAATGAAGGCAGTCAATACGCATACTGGCTTAGAGAAAGGAATATCAGATTTAAGTAACATGAAATCAAGAGAATATTTTACTCGTATCCAACATCTCTCAAGTCACCCGTAAAAAGTGGATATTATTCCTGTTTAAAAAACTATATTATTTAGAAGTATGAAAATGTAATCGAATCGCGGAATTACTATCTACTATTAGCTATACCTTGCAGTTACCCAAAAAATGCTCTTAACAATTAAGATATAAATTATGACATAATACACGAAAAAGCACCTAATACAAAAGCCGAGACTACCATGAATGAAAAATAATTTATTATTGCTATCATCTACTATATTTCTGCACTGACTTCTGTGAATGCAGATTATCATTTTTATGATACCAGGTACAAGCAAGATTTCAATCAAAACCCAAAAACGCAGTATGTATATGTACGAAATCGGTTTTCTATCAAAACCTACTGGATTTCAACAAATTAGATTCAAATATAAGACGACAAAATAGCGTCAAAAAATTTAAAACAAAGCTGAGAAACTCTATATTAACATTGCAAAATATGACGATGCACTAATGGTTTGAATTTATTTTTATGTATTACTACCAATTGTTTATGTAGCCGTTTGTGTTGAATAAATCTTTCTACTATTGCTAGACATATGCAGTAAAATTCAAATAAGACAGATAAGAGTATATAAACATTGCTTTTATTGAGATTATTTAAAAAAAAAAACGGCACGGCAGCGCTTCACGTTAGTATCAATTCATTACACTGACATAAAGTGCTGCAGTGCTGTGGTTTCATAAACTCACTGTTTTGGGTTAATAGAACGATGCAACTTCTATTTTTTAAATCAGATAGTGAAATAAACATGTCAAATTGAAAATTTTGCTACCAGAAGTCATTTCAAGTGTATCTCCTATTTTGGCCGAAATTGAGGCAAGTTAGACAGCAAGCACCGCCCGCGGTGGGTCCAGGGGTCTCACAAACTTGAACAAGTCAAAAATTATTTTGACAAAGACAGTTTTCTACAATGCTCTTTGAAATGGAGAAATACCGCTTCACGTGTGTATTATGTATATCAACATCGAATTTACTATTTTCCGGTAACCTCATGATAGACAAAATCAAGGTAACTGCAATTTATGGAAAGAGAATACCCCCTCCCTCCCCAACTCAGCAATTCAATGCAAAATCTTAAATTCCATGCTACGTCATAAATTAAACTCTACTATCAACATGAAAAGTAGGTTGAATCAACTGATGTACTTGAATTTTCAAAAAGATTTCAAGCCTGTATATGAATACAAAATTAAGATATGATTTATAACTGCCTTAATTGAAAATGCCATATCTTTCACATTTTCTTTAAACCTTAACCAAATACTCATTTAAGTGTTGTCTGTCTTACGGCATCCCATGATGTTCTTAAATTCCCTTGATACCGTGCATGGTCAGTAATTCTTTTAGATGTGAAATTTCCTCCTCCTGAAACAATCAATGAACACTGGATTACTATCAAAAAATCTCTTATCACCTTTTCTCCAGCCTGCTTGAAAAATTCCAAACATATTGTATTTTTCACGAGTATCCATTGCGGTAGAATAACAATAACATTTCAAAATTCCACATGTTGTCAAATGACATAATTCTGACGGATCCGTCAACGCCAGGTAGACCGAACTGTATTTTGTTTTGTTTTTTTTGTACATTTTGTACTTGCTTACAACTCTCTTATTTAGAAAAGTTCAGTTGCATGTAAAAAGCGCTACAAGAATGTTTTACAATCGGTTCATTATTGCTGATCAGCTATACACCTCAGTAGACGTCAAAACGTGATGGATACTCGTGAAATAGGGTTTACTGATTTGGCTGTTCAAGATTTATTTACAATGATTTCGTTCTTCTAAAAAACGAAACAATTACATAACATACAGATATATAAAAAAACAAAATTGGCATCTCGTAAAAATTTTCACTGTCCATGAAATATCCCTTTAATTTTCTTTTAAACATCTTTAAATTACAAGCAGACTATATCATTATTTAGTTTATTAAATTCAAGCAATCCTTTCTGAAATATTGATTAATTAGTTATATTATTATTGCAATTTTGTAAATGAAAATCTATATTTCCTCTTGTATAATAATTGTGGCAATGATTATTCAATTCTATGTAGTGTTTTAAAGGTTGTGACAGATGATTTCTTTATTTTAAATATAAAAATAAAAACCAAATATGATATGAAATTTTTTGATTGAGGGGAGAACCGGGAAAATATTATTATAAAAAAAGCTCCTATATTTCTACATGCTGATAATATAAGCAAGCACGTTATTTTATTAAAATTGTTGGTTTTATTCAGGAACAAATCCCGCAGGGGTATTACATATCTTCAAAAAGGGACATTTATGTCTGTTTTTTGAAAAACGCGTAATGAACTACTAGAACACTAGGAACTATCTATCAGCAAGATGACATTTTGACTGTTTTTTTTAGGTCATTATATAGGTTTTTTACGTAATAACCCCGCCGAAGTACCTATCGGGACACCCTTTATCAGATTGCTTTCATTTGCCCAAATAAACTTTATACAAAAGAAAATCGGATGATACAAAAAAAAGCACCAACCTTTTCGGCCAACTGCACTTTGAGCTGTTCAATCTCCTGCGTCTCGGTGGATTTGAGCGCGTGCAAAAGACTTGTCGTGTCCGGTCTCAACTCAGGACTTTTCTGGACCAGACTTTGGATCATCTGGGCCATGTCTGGATGGGTGACGAACAGCTTGGAGGGAATATGTCCTTTTCTCAGTTCTGTGATGTATTCGACTCGTTCCATGTCCGTACGAAAGTTCTCTACCAGCTCGAACAGCACGATACCCAAGGAATACATATCACTCTGAAAAAAAAACATGCAATGTCGCAATATCAAATAACCTACCAATACATAGAATGAATACTGTCTGCGATTATTCGATTGCATAAAGAAAAATAAGTCGTGTTCTGACAGTGTCAATCAAAGTAGCGACAGTACCATGTGTGTGTGTGTGTGTACACCGTACAGAAATACGCCAACACACACCTCATTCATCGGGGATGCAGATGCAATGCTAATGCTGCAGCTTGATTTTATCGCGAGAGGTGCTCGTCATCCTAACCTCCGAGTTTTTTTAAATGTGCACCGTTTACTGTCATAGTGACAATTTCCAAACAAGAACATGGTGATGGAACAATTTCCTTTCCTTACGAAGACATCATCCTACAAGCAGGCGCCAAATAGAAGCAAGCACTGGAGGGCCCAGAATTACAGCCTTGCGAAACCCGTGCCACGTACAGCGAGTACAATATCTACAACCCCATGATTATCTTCCAAGAGGTGAGTTTTTTCAAACAATGTTACTGAGACACCGGGAAGATCCGCGATTTTTAGAAAAAAATTTATGAATCAACATTTAAAAAATAGGGTACATGAATCTACACAACTTACAGAGACGGACAAATGTTTGGAAACAAATATTAGCATTATCATGAACTATTTCATATACCTAAATTAAAATTATGATGGGACAGATAATATAAATATTAAAGTTTACCTTTGTCTCCCGTACTAATTCAAGGTTTATCTTATCAATATTCAAATTCTCTGAAAATAAAAACACGCGTTTTTGTAACGACAAAAGTATGGAAACATTTAAGTTTTGCCGTATTTATTCGTTCTGCGAGACTCATGTATGAACAAAATTAAAAGGATTTTCAAAAGATTTAAGAGACAAAGTAATTGAATTATTTAGAAGTGGTGTCAGAAATGTTGACATTTCTCAAAGATTAAAAATAAACAAAGGGACGATTTCGAATATTATTAGTAGATATCAAGAATAGGGATTAACAGCAACGCGTCCTAGGTGCGGAAGACCGAAAAAAAAACGATTATGTTTTAAACGTTTGTCCCATGAAGATCCTCGGATGCCAGCTGCACAGAATCTTTGTCAGAACAGTGCAGAGACGCTTGGTGGATTTTGGGCTTTTTGGTAGTCGTCTAGTGCAAAAGCCTCCCATTTCAAAGAAAAAAAAATCGTATTGCTGAAACTCATCTAACTTGGACAGAGCAACAATGGAATACAGTTTTATGGGGCGATGAAAGCAAATTTAACTTGTTTGGATCTGACGGTACGGCATATGTGAGACGTTCAATACGAAAAACATTCGACAAAAAGTATCAGTTGCCAACAGTTAAGCATGGTTTGGGGCTGTTTTCCTAGTTTTTTTTTTGACGGCGTCAACTTCTTCAATAATATATAAATATAATTTTTTTCTAGTTCTAGAACAGGTCCAATTGTTAAAATTGTTGGGAAAATGGATCAAAAACTTT